GTCAATGTGGATATATAAACCTGATGAATCCTATAAACCTTCCAATCACCCCCCTTTCATCTGCCCTCATCTCGGCGTTCTTCGACCTGGCAAAGATATACAGCTGGGGACTGAGCTTTTTTCACAGGAACTCGCGTGCCCACTGTTTCTGGTAAAGGAGTAGGCAGATACGAACTGTGCGTATTGCCACGGTGGCATTCGATTGTCTTCGGGAAATTCTAGCACATCTGCCAATGAAGTCTTCATCCATCCAGCATGCCATGCCTTGGGATAGAATGGAAAAGGATGCTTGTATACATAGATTCAGACTCAAGGCAAATCTGTTCCGAGGATGCAGACAGAGGGCTCATGGGATTGAAGATGACACGGTTGAGGGTCTGCACCTGGATTTCCATGTCTCTCCTTAGTAGGATTTGGCAGCAGGCTTGCAACCTTCAGGTGTACATAGAGCAGGGTAATTATAGAGAGAACTGGCCAAGCATCGTAATGTGCATCGCCATGTGCAACTTGGGCCTGATCCGGTAAAGAGGCCAGTTCCGGAGAGCTGACTCGGAAGCGAGGGCTCCCACTCCCTCCTCAGCCAACTGGTATTTCTGCATGACAAGCCATACACCAAATTTCTACGATTCGACAAACAGCATTCCAAGGGCAAGTGAGTCACTGTCATGTTCCAGCCATGAACGACAAGGCGCTCAGCAGCATCACGAGGTATCCAGATGCCATGTTGATTCAGCCCACGAAAGAAGGCATTTGCACTGGATATCGTCCACTGCAGTAGCCGGTACAACTCTCGCAAGCCAGGTTCCTCAACTTTACACGAATTGTAATGGATTCCTTGCAAAGTAAGATGGGCCATACGGTATCGATATTGAATAGTGCAACTAAGGGTCCACTCGTTGATCTCCCTGGTCAGTCGAAAGGAAGTCCTCTAGCCAACAGCACAGTAGAATGGTGTCGAATCCTTTGCCGGTTCCTTTTGGCCAGCTGCGTAGCCTCAGGAAATCATGTATATAGGGCTCGACATATATATAAGGTTTGATGTAAGCACTTAAAGCTGCAAACAGCATGAGGTGGGCAACGTCTTCATTTTGAACTTCAGGAGAGAAAATCCTTCGAGGCTGCTTGTCTTGCCATTAGCTCGTAGCCACCGGACAAAAGATTCGTAGAGGGTATTCAAGATGGCTTGGGCTGATCTGCCTGGGACCACTTTCATCCGCACTAGCAATACAATACTCGAAGATGCCATTCCTGACCCAAATCCTTGAATAGCGAAAGTGTGTGCCGGGTCCACTCGGCAGTACCAGGGATCATCCCCACCTGGAATGTCTCGCAACGGGCTGCGGTGAGCTTTCCACGGTGGTGCAGCAGGAACGTCACGGGTCCAGCTTCTTATGGCCGATGCAGGGGTGGTGTTGTACCAATCCTTTGTGATGTAGAGGTGCGATCCGCAGGTTGATCATTGAGGCTAATTGTTCTAGATAAAATTCACAAGAAGTATGGGACATCAGAGACTTCACCAAGAGGGACTCTAGGGCTACCTAAACCTAAGTAAATTGAAGATATAATATCATGGGCTACCCAGTTCCTACACAATAAGAGAACAATTAAGATTTGTAAAGTTGGCAAACTGACCCAGCCTCCTGCTCACACATGTGGCAAACGCACTTTGAAGAGAATCCGGTCTTCAAGGCAAATGCTTTTCGCAGCCACACCCAGTCTCCCTTGCAACCGAGCCAGGCACAGTGTAACTTGATGGTCTGACCACCACTGACAACCTCAAGCTATTTTCCGGCCAGCTTAGAGATATAGCATTATTGGTTAGCAATATAGTATTCAATAGTACTTTGCAGGCAAACTACCTCGATCCCATCACGTAGAAGAGACAAGCAGTCCTGGGATAAATCCTCCAAGAGCTGGAAGATCGTAGTGTCCCCACGGTAGCATCGGCTAGGCAGCACAGTGTAAAGGAGTCTGGAGCAGAAGGAATGCCTTGGTCAGGCACACACGACTCCTGCAGCCTACTCGGTGTTGAATTCAACTAAGTTCTAATTAGCCATATGTGAATTATTATATAATTTTGACAAAGCCACCCACTCTGGTTGAGTCGGCCCACACCGAGATGGGAGAAAATTCCCTGAAAAGCCAGTAGCAGCAAAGGCTGCTTCATTCGGCCACGGCCTTCGTCACCATGGAGCAGGAAAGGCAGGGCTCGTCTGCGATTAATGCCCAGTTGGAACACAATGTGTCCCGGGTCTACTTGCTCATAATTGTTCCAGAATTGTTCCAGAACAGGCTCCCATAAGTCGCACTGACTAGTCGAGTGGCCGGCCAACAAAAGTTGACCTCCTTGTGTTTCCAAAATAAACCGCACCCAGTTCGACAGCCGAATAACTGGCCACGCGACTTTGTCTAGAGCTTGGCGCTTAGTGGCATGCTTGATGTCAATCTTGGTAAAGCTGATCTGAACTTGCAGTGTAAACTCCTTGTGTGTTAATAGCCGGTGTAGGTTGCGGCACACGTTGGCTTCGTCTTGGGCTCGTGCACACTTAGCAAGTTTCTTCAGCATCGGATCAGGGATTCCTTCCAGGGCTGCATTCTGGGAGAGTTTGCAAGGATGCACATTGTTGGGCAAAGGGGTTTGAAATCGTTGCCTTTCTTAGACAGCTTCTTGTCAAATTTCTTTGCAAGGCGACAGGTGCGGGTCGCCGAGTCAGCCTCGGGTATATATACATACACCTATAGGATGCCGCACTCCTATACCACTAGGCCCCCCATACCTGATCAACACTAGCTATCCGCATCCTATGATTTCATGAGTCCAGGGACACCAGAAGCCAAGCCCATGAGGAGCTCATCCAAAAGATCATCCTCGGACGATGCTTCATCGCCACTTTCAGGACCTGGGCAATTCATATATGAGCTCATATGTGTTCAATTAAAACTCCTGTTGTGGCGAAGGCTTCTACATGTAGTGAGTTGTAGGATTAGAATAAGGCCTAGGCCTGGGACGATGTCTGCACATTCAACATCAAGGCCTGCGAGAGGGAGTGCAGTGCACACAAAGCCGAAGCTGAACGGTTGACTTTTGCAAGCAGGAGCCACAGACTCACAGGCTTATCACTTTTGCGCACGGCTCACACATTCCCTGGAAAGCTGGGGCACTTCACAAGCATCGCGCGAATTGCATGAATGCAGAGCTGATCAGTTGGATCACACAACAGCAGCATCAAAACATCTCACATTTCGTGAGGCTAAACGTCTACTCGGGGCCCTTGCCCTTTCTCCTCTTGTTGGCTCCAGACTTTGCCTTTGGCGCTGCCCGTTTCGGAGCGGCTTTGGCAGGGGTTTTGGCACTCCCCACCTTGATGCTCCTGATGCTGGCTCTGGGTCGGATGACAGCACATAGCTACAACTGCTTGCAAATAAGACACTTGGCTCGAGTAACCCAATTGTTGAGGGCAAGGTCGGACTTGGTGCACTGGATGAAGATTTGCAAAGCCTCCTTCTTAAGCCTCCCAGCGGCCCCGATAAGCCCCGGCAACGATGCACAGTGCACAAGCTGCAGGAATTGCAATGACGATCACCGGCCAGCTTGCCTCTGAACCTCGTCCGCCTTACTTTCAGTCGCGACATTTGCCTGGACCTTTGTCAAGTCCTGGTAGTGCTTGTTCAGATCCTTGAGGGATTGGCCCACACTTTCGGCTAGCCTGAGATGGTTTGCAGCAGTGTGCATAAGCTAGACGGCAACACAGACAAGCAGCGATTTGACCTTGTCACTCGACTTGCCCTTGGCAGTGTTGGCCATGGCTTTGTCCAGCCGCTCCTCAGGGTAACTGAACATGCTGTAACATGCTGACACACCTCAGCCGAAGACATGTGCTAGGATTACATGCAGCTTGATCAATATCCTTCACATCATCTGCTGCGTCAATCTTTTTCCCAAGCACAGATAGATATTGGGGGAGCAATGTCAAAGGTGACGTGTTTTGCTGGAGGCTCGGGAAGCAGATCCTTAAGTCCATGAGCTGCGATCGAATCTGAAGTGCCAAGTCACGGGTCAAATTGAGCGGACATATAGTTGCAGTACCAAGCAGCTTGAAGGATGCGCCCCCTTGGGCCGCAGCTTCAGCATCTGTAATGCTTCCACTGCCTGCTGTAGCACCCTGCCCAGTCAAGCTGAGATCTTCATTCCCAGAACCGAGAAGGACCCCGTCCTCATCCTCAGTTATAAATGAAGGCTGACAGGTACACACTGACACAACATGGCCAAAACAGAGAGAGATACCGATGTATTCAAACAGTCCATGGCTGGCAGAAAAGACACTTTCATGGTGAAACCACTCTTGTATGACACACGGTTTCCGGTGGTGTCCGTCTTTTTCCAAAAGGTCTTGTAAGGGATGTCGGCTTCCTCGGCCCCATGAATCGGATTCTTCACGAGCAGGCCACGGGCGCGTGCCCAATCCCACGCATTATCACACATGTTCCTCAGTAGATTTCATGCAGGACCCGGAGGAAAGTAGAGTATTGCCCTTGCACAAAGTGTCTAGGAAGATCTGATTCAGTAGAAGACACTTTGTCCATTTCTGCGTCTCCATCAGCCATTCTTTGGTGACCGGTCCACCAAGGGCAGCTTTCTGCTTCTGCTGCTCATGCCACCTCTCCAGATGGCCCTCGACTTGCTGAAAGGTGCCATGCTCCAGCAAGAGCTGTCGCAGCTTCTCTCCTGGGTTTATAGGAATTGGGGTGCTAGTCTAAGTGTCTGGGGGTTTGGGTTTTTTGAGGGGCCGGAGCTAGCATTGGCTTTGTTTTAAGGAGTTGAGCAAGGATTTTTTGGGCTTGCAG